CAGACACTGGCTCAAAAAAAAAAAAAAAAAAAAAAAAAAAATGTAGAGCTTCATATATTGAGATAAAAATGCTCTAGCATGTTTGTTTTAAAAAAAAGAAGTTATAGAACATGTGTAATATCATAAAACCTGCATGTACATATGGCTGATAACTGCTGCTGTCACCGTTTGCTGCTAAGTGGCTTAATTGTGAGCTGCTTTTAAGGACTCCAGTCCTACCTGGAAGCTTAATTCTGTAACTTCATGAAAAGTACACTAGGGGCTGGGGATTTAGCTCAGTGGCATAAGTGCCTGCCTTGCAAGCAGGCAGTCCTGAGTTTGATCCCTGGTACCCATAAAAAGGAAAAAGACAAAAAAAAGAAGTATGAAAAGCACACTGTAGTAGTGTTACAGTGTTTCTTTTTTAACCTTTTCCAGAGTTGTAAGCAGGCAATTAAATTTGACCCCCAAAGGTGAAATTTAGCTAATGTAAAAACACCTAGCTGAGCTGGAGCTTTTTGGTGGGGGCAGCAGCAGTGTTTTTTTTTTTTTTTTTTTTTTTTTTTTGCTATATTGGAAATTGAACCCAGGGACTTCACACTGAACTACATCTTCAGCCCCTTTTGTTTTAGTTCAGGGTCTTGCTGAATTGCTAAATGGCCCATGCTGGATTGGAACTTGCAGTTCTCCTCCTTTGTTCTCCAGAGTGCTGGGATTGTGGGCATGCAGGGCTAAAGTGGAGTACGTAGGTTTCTAACAGCTGGTGATAAATTGGTTAGGAGTGCTGAAAAATCCCCACACCATAAAGAAACAGGAGGGCTTAACTGCTGTTGCTCAACACTACTAGGAAAGGTCCTGTTAGCTGCAGAGGAGGGAGGAAATGAGCTGAATCTGCAAGACAGGGGATTGCTTTTCGCCTTTTCCCTATACCTAGCCTTTCCCCATTACTGCCTTTCTTGACTGCAAATGGTTTAGGCATGGGTGGCTTTGAGATCTTTAGAAATGTGTACTTAGTTTACTCTTAAAGCCCCATAAAGTCATTGGTGTTGTTTGATATACCTAGAGTCAGATTAGTGTTACAAATAATAATTAGGAAAATATTCGCATAAATGTTACAGAAAATTTAGAAATATAAAAACATTTCAGAAGAACAAAAATTCATTAGTCGCTGTCATTCAGCTTCATTGTTAACTCATAGTGAGTTTCATTTATTCTAAGCTTGTATCTACTTTGCTCAGTTCCTCTGTGGTGTTGATCGCTATTTTGCTGTGGTGGGGGATCAAATCCAGAGCCTCTTGAATGCTAGGCGTATGCTCTGCTGCTTGGCTACATCTCTACATTTCCAGCCCTCTCAAAATTATTTTAGTTTTCAAGTTTTTTAATGCATAATCATGGTTTCATGACTTAGGACTTTGGTAACATTATCATTATTATTATTATTATTATTTGAGACAGGGTCTCAGTTTATAATTCAGGCTGGCCTTGAACTCACTGTGTAGCTCAGGCTGACCTAGCTCAGGCTGACCTTGAACTTGCTATGATCCTCCATCTTCACATTCCAAGTGCTGGGATCACAAGACTTATACCACTACACCTGGCTCCTGCTAGCATTTTAAAGAAACTAGTAGTAATACTAGCTGTCTTCAAAGGTCAAGCTTATGATTTTGATGTTAGAACCATTCTCTAAAATTAAGAATATACAGGAAGTGAGCAACTCTATGAAACAGGAAAGGCGAAAGTGTTGTTTTAAATTACTTTCTATCAAAGGCCTCTTTGAAGTAGATTTTTCAGAGCTGTGATTCAGTAACTCTGTCCTGGCCTGTCCAGGATGAGCAGTTTCCTACTGTCCCTGGAGACTGGGCATTCCATATGGGGCCAGACCATGAAGGTTCTTTTTGCTTGGGGCTTTTTAGCTGCTGGTATATAAGCTGGGCGTATAACTCAGTGGCACAGTCCCTGCCTGGCAAGCGTAAGGTTGAGAGTTCAATTTCCAGTACCAAAACCCAAATAAATAAAAGTGATCTTAAAAGGGAAACTTGCCGGGCATAGTGGCACATGCCTGTAATTCCAGCCCCTCGGAGGCTGAGGCAGGAGGATCATCGCAAATTTGAGACTGGCCTGGGCTACAAAGTGATCTCAAGGCCAGCCTGAACTGCATAGTGAGACCACATCTCAAAAAAGACAAAAAGAAAAAAAGGACACTGTTAACTGAAAACTGAGTACTACTTAAAAAGAGCTCAATTTTACACAAAGGAAAAGTTCCACAGAAGCAAAGCTGCATTTAGTAGAGACTAATCAAGACTGGAGTATAATTTAAAATTGTAGTTCATTTACATGTTCCAGCATATATGAATACAGAGAAGACAAACATTGTCACGAATTCAGTAAATATTTATTCAGTGAGCACCAGGGCCAGAGCAGTGAGGGTGGTGTTGGGAGATGAATGACTAAGAGGTTTCTGTTCTAAACTGTGTTCTAAGGGGAGGAGGTAAGATTTCTATTTCTTAATCAAATGGATTAAAAAGAGACTTGAAAACAGCTGTGTTTTTAAAAAACAATTCTTAACATTTTCTTGTTCAGAGGCTACACAAGTGGCTAAGTATTGAGCATTTGGTATTTGCATTTATTTTTTTAAAAATCTTGGTAAAGTACCTTTTAATTTTAACCAATGCTTTATTGGCCCAGTGGGATGCAGATAGGAAGGGTGATGGACCAGTGTTGTCAGTGGATGCCTGATTATGTTCACAGTAGTGCAGTCCCAGCCCCACTGAGAAACAGGATTGCACGGGTGAATTTTACTTACTTTTAAAGGTAACTTACATGTACTTGCAGGATTTTCTTTGTTGGGTATGTACACTCAGTTCACTAATAGGCTGACATTAAATAGGAAATATATGGGACCCAGAGTGGCCTCAGACAAGAACGTGAGCTGGTCAGCATTTGTATGTGGTATTTCCCAGCTGTTGGGGCCATTGACCTTCCCTCCATCTCCCTCCCTTTCCTTGCTTTCCCTCTTAATGGGAAGATACTGGATGGAAAGTCAATTTGCCTTCAAAGTCAGCTACTTGATTTTACCTCAGTGTATTGTAATTCCCCAAATCACCAGTAGGAGTCTAGTTCTTTCTAGTAGTTGTGTAGGATTCTATATAAATAGTATCATTTATCTCATCAGAACCAAACTGGTAAACACTTTTTTTTTTTTTTTTTTTTTTGGTGGTGCTACTGGGAATTAAACTCAAGACCTTTACTCTAAGCTACATCCTTAGTCCCCTCTTTTCGTAACAACAACTTACTAAGGTCTTGTAATTTACGGGGCTTGAATTTGTGATCCTCCTCTTTATTTTGCCGGGATGCAGGGATTACATGGGTGCCCCCATTGTACCTGACCTTTTTTTTTTTTTTTTTTGGTTTGGTATTGAGTGTTGGACTCACAACCTTGTGCTTGACAGGCAGTTGGCCTCTATTTTTTACTTTCCTGCTTTTGCTCTTTTATTTTCTCATGCTTTTTCTTTTTGAAACAGGGCCTTGCTTTGTAGTACAAGCTTGTATTGAACTCAGTATGTGGCTCTGATTTGGCTCAAGCTCATGGCGATCCTCCTACCTTTGCTTCCTAAGTGCTGGAATTGTAGGCACGTGCCATGATGCCTGGCCTTTTTTCTCTCATGATAGTCCAGTGAACAGTCCAGTACAGATAGTCCATACTTTAAGTAGCAGTGTGGCTCAGTGGTAGAATGCAAAAACTGGGCTTAGTTCCTAGCACCAAAATAATCACATATTTATTTGGACATAGATATACAAATTATTTAAGATATGTGTTACCGTGTCTGGCTAAGCAGTATTATTTTGATTTACACTCCCATTTTTGGTTTGGCACTTGACTTTGTATATTTCTGTGAATGTGATCTTAGCTCATTTTTTGTTACATTTGTATTGATTTGGGGGGGCAGTGCTGAGAATTGAATCTTGCATCTTGTACATGCTAGGCAAGCACTCTACCTCTGAATTATATCCTCCCTTATTCATTTTTCAGAACCAGTTTTCTGTAAATTACATACACATCGTGTGTGAGTGTGTGTGTGTGTGTGTGTGTGTGTGTGTGTGTTGGGAGTGTGTGACACATTGGAAAATCCAAGGTTGTTCTGCTACTGGGCTGCATCCCCAGCCCTTTTATATATATATATATGTATATAATTTTTTTTTTTTTTTGTATTTTTACCGGTACCAGGGATCGAACTCACGACCACAGGCTTGCAAGGCAGGCGCTTATGCCACTGAGCGAAATCCCCAGCCCCCATGAATCTATTTCTATAAATGCACCATTATCACTGACCTTTTGAGCATTTTAACTAGGTTCTTCTATCTACTCTGGCTTCCCTGTCAGTTTGCCTAGAGTAACCTAGATGATCTTTTCAGAAAACATCTGGATAAACTCTTCATGGACTTTACATTGCTCCTTGGTGGCCTGAAAGACCCTGCGTGTGTGAACTGGGGACAGTGATGTGCATGTATTTCTAGCACTCTGGGGGCTAAGACAGAAGGATCAGAAATTCAAGCCCACCTTGATAACTTAGAAACAGTGAGACTGTGTCTCAAGAAAAGAGAAAACTGGGGCTGGTAATAGAGCTCAGTGTGGAGACCCTGGGCTTCATCCCCAGGCTGGGGGGAAGGTAGGCCTTAGCTCCTGACTCTGTGTTCTTCACACCATAAAAATTTTTCTGGGCAGTAAACATTCAGTCATGGTGCTGACATCATTTGTTTTCCCAATCTGTCAGAGATTATTATAATGAGCCCAGTTAATAGCATCTGAAGACGTTTGCATTTATAGGAAACTGGTCTGATGGCAGAAGGGGTAGCCTCATTTGATAAATTCATGGTTCTTAGTGGATTGACAGTACATTCATAGGTACTGTATAGGTCATTAATAAATATGAATACATGTAGTTAAGAATTATATGGATTTTTCATAGCTAAGGAGAAAGTAACTGAATAGGAGTCTTATATTGTTTTTTCCTTCCTTGTAGATTTAAGCAGTCAAGTGAAATCAAACTGGGAAATCATGGCGGAAGGAGGATTCGATCCCTGTGAATGTGTTTGCTCTCATGAACACGCGATGAGAAGGCTGATCAATCTGGTAAGAGGGATAGCACGTTCCTGTGGAGAACTGACCTGTATTCCTTCTCTCTTGTCTTTCTGAGACTTAGTTACTGGAGGATTTTCATCTGATGGTCACTAAGAAGTATTTTGTAATATAATTCCATAGTATATTAAGTCATAAAGTCTTTGCCAACCACCTTTGAGGATAAAGTCTGATCACTATTTTTATGTAGATGTATGTTGATAAAATTTGCCATCTTGCACCTTGAGAACAGAATTTTAAGTGAAACAAATCAGTCACATATTTTTAAATACCAAATGGTAAGTAAGGACCAAAATGGAGGGATAGATACTGGAAAGAAGATAGAAAATGAATACTTTCATTCCTTGAATGATTTTACACTGTCTTGTTATATTTTTGTTTTGTTTTGTTTTGTTTTTTGGTCTTTTTCCTTTTTATCGGTACCAGGGATCAAATTCACGCCTGCCTGCTTGCAAGGCAGGCGCTTATGCCACTGAGCTAAATCTCCAGCCCCCTGTCTTGTTATGTTTGATGCTATAATATATGAAGTTATACTCAAATATTTCAAGGAAAGAGACACTGTGGTAACTACTGTTATGTCGGGTTGTCTTGTGGTGAAACACTATGTTGTTTAAATTGTTCTGTTCTGACCTGTGTTGTTACGTCCTCTTTTATCTTAATCTTTTTTTTAAATAAAAAAAGGTAGAAAATGTTTAAAAGAGAAGAGGACAAGGGAGGAGGGAAGGGAGAGAATAAGGATTAAAAATTAAAGAATGGAAGGGAAATGATGGGAACAATGCTTTGTAAAGGAAGAGAAAGATTGAAAGGAAGGGAAGGGAATGGGAAAGAAAAGAATGAAGATACATTGTGTATAGATAGACATTCCCTATGATGAATATGATCATTATGTATGTCAAAAGGGTACCCATAAAGTTCATTTGCCATCAGCTTGATTTTTTAAATAATTTTTTAATTTTAAACATAGTAAAATCCAACAAACAAGACAGAACAAAGCCAATCAGAACAATGCAGCTAAATTGGTATGGAACTTCAAAGCAGGATACTGGGAAAACAATAATAGCTACCATAGTATATATTGTTATTGTTATCTTCACAATAGTTGTCCATTCCATCAGGTATAGTAATTTGTTAAAATCAAGCCAAAAACATAAAACCAATCAAAACAGATTACTGAATAAAGTAAAACAATTAATCAGACCAAAGCAAAACAGTGAAAACAATATTGGACTTAAAAGACAAGATATAAGGAAACCGCCCCCCCCATGTTTGCTATATTATATACTGTCCTCCTAAGAGATACTCAGACTGCTGTCCCCAGGCCTGCATAATCAACCATTTAGTTGCTTTATATACTTTAGTTATAAGTTTAGTATCAACCTAGGCTGTCCTCAGAATCATTCAGTGGCTAGTAGGAGTGGGGGGTCAGCTTACCAGGAAGGCTGGCTGGTTGATTTCTTGGTTGGTCCCCCAAGACTCCAGCTTGATTTTTTTAAATTAAAAAAACAAACCTCATAGCAATTTGTTAAATTTGCCATCAGCCTGTTGTGGTGGTGTATGCCTATAATCCCAGCACTTGGAAGGCTGAGGCAGGATGAATTACATAGTGAAACCTTGTCTCAGAAAACACAAACCCCCCCCCCAAAAGAAAAAGATTGCCAGTATAGGTAGAAAATACATTTGTGTATAGCCTTCTCTACTCTATAATTACTACTGATAAATATTTTTTAGTTTCTTGGAGCTTGTTTGCTTGCTGAACTGCTGTGTTTTCACTTCAGACATCTGGTGTAATAGTAAAAATGTTTCCAAATGTAAAAAAAAAAAAAAGTAAAAATAATAAAAATGTTTCCAAATGTAAATACATTCTTCCACAGAAGTAGATTTCTGAACAACAGTATTTAGGTAGTCTCATTGAATCAATTGTAGTCAGATTTAAATTGTAAGAGGATTTTTAAGCTTAAATATTACACACTATACTTTCTGGTGCAAAAGGAGAAATTTGACCATCACCTGCAATAAAGTGTCCACCTCCCAGTGTTAGGGATGAACCCAATGCCTTGTACATGCTAGGGAAGTACTCTACATTCTTGAGTACCCTCAGCCAAAGTATGTTCTATTAACCATTGTAATAATGTGTTGTTTTTGAAGTATTTTTCAACAGGAATATATTTGAATGGGCCACTTAATAAAATGAGGGAAAACATTCATTCAAATATTTGAATTGTTGGTAATCAATAAGTTTTGAGTGGACTCAGTGTTTCTGTATAGAGTGGTTAGAAGTGTGGGTATTTTTTTCTTTTTCTTTTTACTGTTGGTAGTAGGTATTGAGTCTGTGGCACTGACTTGAGGGCCTTGGCACTGAACTGTATCCTCAGCCCTTTTTAAATTTTTTTTTCCTTTTTAAAATTTTGAAACAGGATCTTATAAATTTCTTAGCTGCTCAGGCTGGGCTTGAACTTTTGATTCTTCTGTCTCAGCCTCCCAAAGTGCTGGGATAATATGTGTGTAACACACCATGTCCAGCCTAGAAATGTGGTGGGGGTTTTTGATTTTTTGTTTTTTGTGAATGATACATATTTTTTAGTTAGGTACATTAGAACTTAATGATACTAAAGAATGCCTCAAAAGAAAAAAGATAAAATATATACTTGAAAATTAAATTAGACTCTTTAGGTACAGAAATATACTGTAATGAGAATATTGTGTCTCTGAAACTTGATGTAAATATAGATGAATCTCAGGAGAGAATCTTGTTTTGTTTTGTTTTTGAGACTGGCTCTTGCTCAGTTGCTAGCAAGAGCTGCTTCAAGATTCAGCTGTGAAAAAAAAAAAGATTCAGCTGTGAGCGTTTTGTCTCAGCCTCTTTTTAATTTTAAACAGGAAAAAAATTCTAAACAATAGGAGAGTAGCAATGGTTAATGTATTACATATTGTTATCTTTGAATTAGTTACTCAGAGTATAAGATACAGGTGTGTAACTGTCCAGACTGTATTAGCACAAACCTGTCTTTGAATGAACTAGGAGAAATTAGTAGTATAGCCATCTTAACTGTTTTATGTATATGTGTCTGTGTGTGTGTAGAGACACACACAGACACATATACACATATTTTGCTTTTCTTCCTTCTTTCTTCCTTTCCCCTATCCCAGTTTCTCTTCCTTTTGAACAATTTCTTCCCAGTTTTATAATAATACCTGTTGTGCATTTTGGATCTTACTTACTTTTTCAGCTTCTCACACTGGGGAGACAATGCAGTGTTTACACATATGAGTCTAGTTTGTCTCACTTGTAAGTATGGTCTCCAGTTACATCCTTTTACCTGTAAAAGCCTGGGGTTTATCCTTCTGTATGACAGAATAGTACTCTATTATAGAAAAAGATAACTTTTTTTATCCATTTCCTAGTTAATGGGTATTCCTCAGTTGATGGACATGGGTTGTTTCCAAGTTCTAGCTATTACACATTGTGATACTAGAAATATGGGTGCACATGTATCACAGTGGTACAGTATTTTTAATTGTTTGGGAAAATATCCAGAAGGGGAATACCTGGGTCAAATGGGACATCTAATCCTAGTTTTTCGATTATCTCCACACTGATTTCCACAGTGGTTGCACCAGTGTACACTCCCACCAACAGTGGAGAAGGGTTCCTTTTTCCCCATCCCCTTCCAACATTTATTATTGGTTGATTTCTTTTTTTTTTTTTTTGTCTTTTTGAGACAGGGTCTCTATCCAGTTCAGGCTGGCCTTGAGCTCACTTTGTAGCCAAGGCTGGACTTGAACTCACAGCTATCCTTCTGTCTCAGCCTCCTGAGTGCTGGGATTACGGGCGTGAGCCACTATGCCTGGCTTGGCCCTTGATTTCTTGATAATAACATTCTTCTGGAGTGTTTTTAATTTGCATCTTGAATGAGCACTGATAGTGAACATTTTTTCATATATTTCTTCAGGGAAGTGTGTATTACTGTCAGATGCCCATTTTTGGATTGTGTGTTTACATTTGGGAAGTCTGTTTTTTTAGTTCTTTGTATGTTCTCAATAGTAAACCTTTGTCTGAGGAATAGTTGGGAAACATTTTTTCCCACATTGTGGATTGTCTCTGCACTCTGCTGGTGGTTCTCTAGCTGTGCAAAAGCTTTTTAGTAAGATGAGATACTAGTTGTGGATCCTTTGTGATAATTTCTGTGCATTAAAAGTTTTATTCATAAAATCTTTGCCTACACCAGGGTCTGCAACAGTTTTACGTATTCTGTCTTCTGGCAGATCTAATGCTTCTGTATTAATATTTAGATCTTTGAACCATTTTAAATTTAATTTAGTGCATGGTGAAAGATGGATCCAATTTTAATGTTTGGCATATGTAATACCAGATTTTCCAGCACTTTTTATTAAAGAGGCTGTCTTTCTTTTAGTGAATGTGTTACCTGTGTGAAAGGTAAGGTAGATGACTGAGTGTGTCTGGAGTTGTTTCTGCCTCTTCTAATCTGTTCCATTGATCTTCGGGTCTGGTTTTTTTGCCAGTACCATGTTGTTTTTATCACAGTAGCTTTATAGTATAATTTCAAGTCAGGGAGTGTGATGCCCCCTGTCTTATCTTTGTTGCCCAGGATGACTTTTGCTATTCAAGGTCTTTGCTGGTTCCAAATGAATTTTAGGATTGTTTTCTTTAATTATGTAAGGTACGCTGTTGGAATTTTGACCAGAATTGCATTAAATCTGTGAAACAATTTTGGAAGAATGGCCATTTTCACTGTGTTGGTTTTTCCTACTCAGGAACAAGGGCTATCTTACCATTTTCGGATTTCTTCAATATCCTTTTTCAGAAAACTGTAGTTTTCAGTACAAGTATTTTATATCCTTCATTATATTTATTCCTAGGCATTTCATTTTTTGAATGCTATTTTGTAAGATATTATTTCCCTAATTCCTCTCTCAGTGAGTTTGTTATTTGTGTACAGAAAGACTATTGATTTTTGAGTGTTGACTTTGTATCC